ACTTGAAGCATTGCAACAGGTGCCTGGCATCTAGTAAGCCTCACAGCCGCTAAAACGCTGGCCATAATTACTCACAGTAGCAGTAGTAGGGTATCATGATCAAGATAAAAAATAAAATGGCAAAGGGAAAATAAGGGGTGAAATGATAACATGGATCCAGGGTTGGTATACAATACATATGTATAAAGCTCTGTTTATAACTACTAAAAGCGGGTTACAGATTTGCTGTGCTTTCTAGAGGCTGAAGCAAAGATTGGTTACAAAACTCACGTGAGGTTTGGGAGAAAGTTCTCCGGTGAGTCCTCATCAAGATGACATTTTGAGATGCCGAGGGCCATGTCTTCAACCCATCCCCTAATTCTGGATCCAGTCCAACACAGAGACAGATGGCAAACACAGCTCCGACGGGGCATGATAAGCAGCATGGCTGCCATAAATGCAGCCGGGTTTAAAGACACTATTACAAATTACGCATCCCACTCATAATCCCAATAAGGGGATTAACTACAACATGCATCTTTAGGCTTTTTTGGGGGGGTTGACAGATTAGATACACAGTACCTCTTCCTTGTCGTCTCCAGGGGCCATTCACAAAGAATGAAACATTGGTGGCCCTAGAAATACCCAACTGATAAGAAGATGGTTTTGTTTCAAGCTTTAAGGGGGATAGTATTTGGAGGTTTTGTTTGTCTGGTTTTTCACCCTTGAGATTTGATCACTAGATCTGGACTTCTACTCAGGCTTCAAACTTTTGAGAGCTTCCCGATTTTTTAAAAAGAATTTTAATGTGTGTGACAATATAATACTCTCCTCCATCTGTCTTCAACCTTCTTTCCCTTGCTTAGGCCCCAGTAGAGCATTTGTTCCCAGGGCTGATGGGAACTTTTTACAGGGGCAATCAAGCTGCTCTGGCTTACAGCTGTTCTATCTCCAGATCATCTGTCCAGCTTTCTTCCCCTTTTCTCAGATGTCTAGGGCCTATAACCTCAGAGGACTCAGGTTTGACCTCCTTCCTTCCACTTTAACTAATATCTTTTTTTTTTTTTCCAGCCACACTGTGCAGCTTGTGGGATCTTAGTTCCTGGACCAGAGATTGAACCCAGGCCCACGGCAGTGAAAGCCCCAAGTCCTAACCACTGGACCGCCAGGGAACTCCCACTGATATCTTTTGTGCCAAGCATTTTCCATGAGTTATTTTAGTTTTTGCCATAACTCTGGCCCATGGCTATTACTGCCCCTATTTTATGCTGAAGAAGTGGAAGTTCAGAGATATATGAAGTAGCTTGCCCAAGGTCACCCTGTTAGGTAAAAGCTGTGATTATTGCAGTCTGATAGGACTCAGTGTCCTTCCTCTTCCCTACACCATGCCATTGTACTCAAAAATCATCCATTTGATGGTCTGGTTTAGAATTCTAGCTGAGTTAAACATCAAGATTCCTGGCCGTTGGTTTGTGTTACTGATATCTTTCCCCTCTTTTGAAAATTGGGATTTCATTTGTCTGTCTTTTGTACCTCTTCTCCAAGGAGTCAGGTGGCTTAGAGCTCATTGGCAAATTTTCTCATTTTCTTCGTCCAAGTCAGATCAGACGTGACTTAGTTCAAAGCAGCATGATGCTTTCTTAAAATCTCACACCTCCAATGTCAGGTTTCAATTTTCTCTCACCAGTGTTGGTTATAAAACAAACCTCAGGGACTTTCCTGGTGGCACAGTGGTTAAGAATCCGCCTGCCAATGCAGAGGACATAGGTTCGATCCCTGGTCCGGGAAGATCCTACATGCCACAGAGCAACTAAGCCTGTGAGCCACAACTACTGAGCCTGCGTGCCACAACTACTCAAGACTGCTCACCTAGAGCCCGTGCTCCGCAACAAGAGAAGCCACCACAATGAAAAGCACGTGCACCGCAACGAAGACTAGACCCCACTCGCCACAACTAGAGAAAGCCCGCGTGCAGCAACAAAGGCCCAACGCAGCCAGAAATAAATAAATAAAATAAATAAATTTATAAAAGAAAAAAACCTCGTAATGCAAATAAAAACAACCATGAAACACTGTTCTTAACCTAAGAAGTTATCAAATGTAAATAGTCTGATTATATACTTTGTGGAGAAACAGACACTCTCAAACATGATTAATAAGAGGATACATCTGCACTGCCTCTTTGGAGGAAGGAGAAATTTGCTACACTGATCAAAATTCAAAATGCCCACACCCTTTGACCCAACAATTCCATTTCTAGATCCTACAGGCTTGGTGACACGTGCACACAAAGACGTATGCACAATCATACGCACTGAAATGTTGTTTTTATAGCAAAAGACTGTGAATAATCTACATGTCCACCAATAGGGGAACTGATGAAATAAATTATGGCATATCCATATAATGCTATACTCAGCAGCTGTGAAAATAAATGAACTAGTTATGTACAAACTGACTTGAAACATTCTCCGAAATATGTTGCTATGTGAGGGCTTCTTGGTGGCGCAGTGGTTGAGAATCCGCCTACCAGTGCAGGGGACACGGGTTTGATCCCCGGTCCAGGAAGATCCCGTATGCTGCAAAGCAGCTAAGCCCATGCGCCACAACTACTGAGCCCATGTGCCATAACTACTGAAGCCCACACGCCTAGAGCCTGTGCTCCGCAACAAGAGAAACCACCACAATGAGAAGCCCACGAACCGCAACGAAGAGTAGCCCCTACTCGCCACAACCAGAGAAAAAAGCCCGCGCGCAGCAACGAAGACTCAATGCAGCCAGAAACAATAAATAAATAAAATTTTAAAATTTATTTTAAAAAAATGTTGCTATGTGAAAAAAGCCAGGGGAAAAGCAAGTATCTACAGTGTGCTATCATTTTTATGTTTTTCTAAAAGGAGATGCTTGCATATGCGTAAAGTATCTCTAGAAAGATACATAAGAAATTGGTAACATGCTCACCTCAGCAGGTGTTGATAGGGGATGGGGCAGCCAGAGGCAGGAGGCTGGCTGGCTTTGCACTTTTATCTTTTTATACCATTTGAATTTTTTTTTCAAACTATGAAAAGAAGTGAGGGCTTCCCTGGTGGCGCAGTGGTTGAGAGTCCGCCTGCCGATGCAGGGGACGCGGGTTCGTGCCCCGGTCTGGGAAGATCCCACATGTCACGGAGCAACTGGGCCCGTGAGCCATGGCCGCTGAGCCTGCGCGTCCGGAGCCTGTGCTCCACAACGGGAGAGGCCATAAGAGTGAGAGGCCCACGTACCGCAAAAAAAAAAAGAAAAAAAAGAAGTGAAAAGGAAAAATTATTAGAAAACATCTCCCCTGTATTGTATGAACATGGTTTTCCTTACTGGAGAAAGTGTGTATGGTCTTTGAACCAGTGTGGCCTCATGCTCCTTTTCCTGCCTTGGGTACATTAAATGAGGTATTCATGTCCTAAGCAGTCCTGACTAAACCATTAACTTGTGGAGTGATCCTGGGAAAGCCCCACTCTTTCTTGCAGAAGCGACAAGATGGACAATGTCTAGCCCTCTCAAAGCTTCAACCAGGCAGAGGGAGCGGCGTGCCTAAGGACATGGGGAGGAGGAGGGGAAGAAAGTTGGTGCCCACCAACTCCAGTTCCTCATCTCCCATTGCCTCTCACCCCTTTCACTCACAGCTTCCAGGCCCACCCTCTCCTGGGCTGCTCTCCTGCATGCCTGTCTAGTTGCTAAATCCCTAGAGAATGAAAGGAAGAAAGAACAGCCGCCCACGTCCTCCAGGCTTCCACACACTCTAAGGACCTTTAGTAGTACTAAGTGCTAGAGCCCAGTGAAAACTGCCCAGAGGGACCCTGAGGAGTTGAAGCAGGAAGAAACGGCCAGTCAAACTGGCCCCTGAGGTTTCCACAGGGTGTGTGAAAGGGCGGGCTGGATGGTAATTGTTTTTGCACATAAAAACATGGTTTTAATTTATCCTTAAAACGTATGCTCAACGCCTTTCTCTCTTTGGACGTCTACAACTTGCTTTTTTTTCCTCCTATTTTTTGGCCGCACCACATGGCATGCGGGATCTTAGTTCCGGCACCAGGAATCGTACCCACTGCAGTGGACCTCCAGGGGAATCTGCGCAACTTGCTCCTTTTTAAGGTCACAAGATCCTTTTCTTTAGGCAAGGATGGTGTCCATCCCGGGGCAGTTCCCTTCATTATTGACTTTTGTCCCGTTGGAGGAATTAGGTGATTTTGCACAGCCTCCTCAGCTCTGGACTAACTAGACATCCATGTCTGTTTTGATGCTTTAGTTTGGAATTCCCAGAAAAAGTTTTCAATATCAGAGACGCAGTGTGGAGGAGAAGAAGAGCATGTGCCCTGGAACCAGAGGGATCTGAGTTCAAATCAGACTCTGACATACACTCAGTTACCTATAAAATGGGACAAAGAATAATACTCCCTTCACAGAATTGCCCTAAGGCCATAGAGATAAGGTCTGTAAGTAACCTAGCAAGAAGGTCCTCAATCAATAGCAGCCCTTACTATTGTCTCTACCGTGTTCCTTATTCTTGTGTCACAAAACTGACCCTCTACCGACAGACCTTTTAAAAAAGACAGCAGTAATAATAGTAATAATAATGACGTTGGCTAGCATTTATTGAGCACTTATTATGTGTCAAGCACACTTTTAAGTGCTTACATGTATTAATTCACTGAATCCTTACAGCAAGCCTTTGAGCTAGCTTGGTTATGTTTGCAGGTAAGAAAGCCAAGGCTCAGAGAGGTGAAATGACCTCAGCCGAGCTGGGAGAGAAACCGAGGCAGTTGGGCTTCGCCCTCCTGATCTAGGCACCAGAATCATCAAAACGTCCCCCGGAGTGAGCACCAGGCAACTCAACCCTTCTCAGGGAGCAAGTGTACCAATTCCTCCAGAAGCCGATTTCACTTGCCGGGGCCGAAGGGGTTATTCCCACTGAGAAGCCCGCACCCCGGGTTCCTAGAGCGGCCGCGCTGGGGGCGGGAGGAAAATGCGCTTCCGGCCGTGTCGGGACTCGGGAATCAGGCGGGCTGGCTGCGGGCTGCGGCGCTCGGACCCCGCCTCGGCCTGGGCCTCCCCGCGGGGAGGATGAGCTGCGGACGGGAGGAGGGGCAGGGCTCCAGAAAACGGGGACTGAGCTAGGGAGGGGAGGGCCGGCCCGCGCAGACCAGGGGCCCACCGGGGTGCGGGGAGTGGGGGGTGGTGCCCCTGAACTTGGCCGCCCCGGAGGCTTGTGGTCTTTCCACCGCAGGCTGGTCCGGGGAGGCGCGGGGCGGGCGGCTGTTTCTCCTGCAAGGGCCAGCAGCCCGGTCGCCCGCCGGGGCCCTCGCCGGCCCCTCCCCGAGACCTCGAACGTTCCAGAGCCCGGGGTAAGACTGCGCTCGCTCGTTCCTCCCCGCTCCCAAGTGCGGCCCCGTCCGCCTCCTGCTTAACGCCCACAACCTACCTGAGAAGCCGGCGGCATCACCCCCATTTTGTAGGCAACTGATTTATAAAGTCAATTTATAAACGGGCTTGTCCCAGACCCTCAGGGGGCCAGGAGCGGAGCCAGGACCGCGCCGCGGTGCTCTGGCCCGCGGACTCATTACCGGCTCAGCATTCGGGTGGTGGGTTAGCATCAGGCTGACTTCTTTCAACTCAGCAGGCCTGAAACCAAGCTGGTTGGCCTTTTCTCTTTGCGAGAGAGCTGGTTCATTCCAAGTCGAGTTGGAACTCCCAGTTATCTTTTCTCCTGCCACCCCCTCTGCTTCCCCCATCTTTTCCTTATCATCTTGTTAGTCTTTGTCTTTTTTTTTCCCCCAACCTATCTTTCCAGTCCCACTGCCACCATCTTTCAGCTTTCATTGCTGCAAACCTGCGTTGTTGCAGTAACCTTCAATCCTGACTGCTTCCCCTGTTATTTCATATGCCACACCTCCCCACTTTACTCCAGTTGCCCCCAGACCCTTGCATCAAGCCACTCCCCTGTTCAAACAACCCTTTTAGTCTATCAAACTGAAGTTGTCTATAGGCTCAAGTCAGACCTCTCTAAGCATGGCATTCAAGGCCATTTGAAACTTCACTTCAGCCCATCTTTCTAACCTCATCTCTCTTGGTTCCCTAAATAGAGGTTATAGACTGATAGCTACAGTTGGAAAATGTGTTTCAATGGTCGCAGAGTTTCTTTTCAAAATTCAAGTTGGGACTTCCCTGGCGGTCCAGTAGTTAAGACTCCGTGCTTCCAATGCAGGGGGCACAGTTTCCATCCCTGGCTGGGGAACTAGGATCCCATGTGCCACGTGGCACGGCCAAAAAAGAAATAAAATTAACAAAATTTGAGTTGATATTTAACATTGGGAGATTCCATTAAAGAAAAAACCAAACAGGTTTCCAGCTTTCGATTCATCAAAAGAGCTGGAAACAGCAGGCCGAGGTTCTTGCCTCCAGCATCTAGTTTGAACCGAGCAGTGGCTGCCCCCTTTTAGATAGGGCTGTGTTTCCCAGTTCACCCTAGTCCCGTCCACTCCAGAATCCTCCCTGTCTCTGAGCCTGAGGATCAGCTGTTGTGCTTGCACTGACGTTTTTCCTAGAATAGAGAAGTAGGTTTTGGCTCCTGGGTTTCTATCAAAAGGACTCAAATGGAAAGTAAACCCAGAGGGACCTTTGTGTAAAGACAACAGAGAGTAAGCTCCCAGCATCCTTCATGCTTTTCCTTTTCTTTCTTGGACCCCATTTCCATTTGAATTTTCCACTTGCCCTACAGGAACCCTCACATCAGCTAGATTGCCTCACAGCCTCTCAGATGAACCGGAGGACCATGTCTTTGCAGTATCTTCTCCAGTGAGTAGATTCTATTCAGCAGTGTCCTCGACTTGTTCTCCTATTCTGTGAAACCTTCCCTGACAACCAAACATCCAACCAACCTCATCCGTCTCATCAGCATTTCTGGAAGCCAGGCACTAGGTTAGATGAGTATGACTAAACCACCATCATTTCTCCCTCCCCTGGATTTCTGTGGCCGTGCCTGAATCAATGTCTTATACAGCATCTTGCACATGGTAGGCAGTCAATAAATAATTATCAGCTTGATAAATGGCCCAGTCACACATGTCTTATCCTCGTGGTTGAACTGTAAGATCTTCGAGGATGGGGTCCAAATTGGATCTATCTTTGCACTGCCCTAGTAACCATTACAGTGCCCGGCACATAGCAGACACGTGGGAATGGCTAAGGAGATAGGTGCCGTAAGGAGGTGCCCCAGACAAGCAATAAATACCGAGTTTCAGTGCAGTCCCATGGCTGGAAGCAGCACCCCTTGCTCCCCCAAGCCCCAGAGGAATGGAGAGGCAGCCCCAGAGAAGAGAGAGCAGAGGCTTACTCAGTCCTGAAAGCCAGGAGCACTTCACAGACCCCTCAACCTGGAGGCTCTGCTCAGGATTCAGCTAAAGCTACATCTAGGACCGAGCTGTATCCATGTGACCTTGTGAGTGAAACCCAACCTGATTCTGATTCTGAATTCCAAGCTCTAGAATAACAACAATGGTTCCCTCTGAGCCAAGCACTGCCCCTTGCTACACACCCATGGCCTTCCAGCCTCTCCAGGGCCATGGCGTCAATACTGTGAGTATCTCCTCTTCACAGAGGGAAGGCCGAGAATCTAATGCCTGAGTAACTCACTTAAGGCCACATAGTAACAGGCTGGCCAGGAGCTAAGTCCACATGGGTTGATTCCAGGGCTTCTGAGCTTAGCACTGTGCTCCTTCCAAACATCTGAGGCTCTATTTAATACCAAAGAACTGCACATTTCAGAATGGTTAAGATGGTAAATTTTAGGTTGTGTGTATTTTAACTCAATTTTTTTTCTTTCTTTCTTTCTTCTTTTTCTTCTTTTATTTGGCTGCACCACGGCATGTTGGATCTTAGTTCCCCAACCAGGGATTGAACCCGTGCCCCCTGCATTGGAAGCGTGGAGTCTTAACCACTGGACCGCCAGGGAAGTCCCTTAGCTCAATTTTTTAAAAGAAAAAAAAAAAAAAATCTGAGACTGAGGAGGACATTGGGCCAGACCCAGGGACTCAAACAGATTAAAAAAAAGTCCTGCCCTCACAGAGGTTAAATTTTAAGGAAGACAGAAAAGCAAAATAACAAATTGGGAAGGGGGCTAGGAAGTGTCAGGGTCAGGGAAGTTGTTGTAGTTTTGGAGGAGGCTGGGCGGGGACTTCTTTAAGAAGGTGAGCTCTCATGTGAAAGACTGACAGGAAGCAGATGTGTAACAACTGCCTGTCTGCTGCTTCCTTCAAGAACTCGAGAAAGAAGACAGCCTAGACCAAGGAAAGCAATTCAGGTGCCATCTGCTATCCTTGAAGTATTCCAGGAAGGGGAAAAGAAAACACAAAAAGTGAAGTTGATTCTTTTCCTTCTCAACATTCCCTTTCGTTTCTTCTCATTTTGCCCTAGATCGTTTCTCACTTCTCCAATCTCCTGCAAGACTCACCTCTATTCTGCCTTGTCTGTCCTTCCTTTCTTTAGCCCAGCGCCATCCAGAGTGGCCAAGAAATGAGGTGGCAGAGGAGGGGGTGAGCAGGCGGGCAGGGGAACTAGCATGCTTCCTTCTATTACATGGAGCCTTGCAGAATGTGAAGGGGTGGCAAGAGCAGGAGGCAGGCAACCCTGGAGGTGACACATTTTGGAGATTCAGGAAACATCTGCAGGGCCAGATGGCCCAGATCCCCTAAGAGTGAGAGGATTAAACACGCAGAACCTAGGGAAGAAGCAAAGGCACACGTTGGTTGGTTTTAGTTTTGCTTTTTGTATGCCCCTTTTGTTTTAACAGCTTAGTTGAGGTAGAATTCACACACTGTATATACTTAAAGGGGACAATTCTGGGAATTTTAGTCCAATCACAGGGTTGTGCAACCATCGCCATAATTTTAGAACATTTCATCACTCCCCAAATAAACATCCTATCTATCGGGAGTCACTTCTTGTCCGCCCCCTTCCCAATCTCCCCCCTGCCCTTTCACTCCCACCCCTCCCACCTCCCACCCCCTCCACTCTAGGCAACCACTAATGTACTTTCTGTCTCTGTAGATTTGCCTAGGCTGGACATTCTGTATAAATGGCCCACTTTGGTTTTGGTTTTAGTTGGCTTTTTTTTTTTCCCCCTTGTTTTTGGAAGGGGGGTGGGTGACCACTGAAGAGTCTTACAAAGGTGGGTTTGGAACATTAGAAGTTGAGAAGCTCTTCCAAGGAGACAAAGGTGACAGGAAAAGCAGAAGAGGGAAATAACTTCTATTTTTTATTGCTCTATTTCTTCTTTGTTAGTCACCCCAAATGTCAGGAGGAGAGGAATCCTAAGTAAATGGAAGTGGGAAGTGCTCCAGATTACATTGTCTGCTTTTATTTCTGTGAACAATTTTTTAAACCTGTTTTAACACAGTTATGCCTTCTCTTTGCCAGCACTGTAAAGTGTAAAGGGACCGATCATGGAGTCAATTCAGGAAACCTGGTTCTTCCCATTAGCAGCCTGACTCAGCTCTTCTCAAAGCTTTCTTTCTTCCGGGCTTCCCTGGTGGCGCAGTGGTTGGGAGTCCGCCTGCTAGATGCAGGGGATGCGGGTTCGTGTCCCGATCTGGGAGGATTCCGCTATGCCGCGGAGCGGCTGGGCCTGTGAGCCATGGCTGCTGAGCCTGCACGTCTGGATGACTGTGCTCTGCAACTGGAGAGGCCACAACGGTGAGAGGCCCGCGTACCGCAAAAAAAAAAAAAAAAGTTTTTTCTTCTGTAAAATGAGGGGGTTAAAGATTATTCCACCTCCTCTCCAGCATCATCTCCTGAGCGGCAGGCAGTCAGCCTTTTCCGTATCTGTTGACAGTCCGTATTTCATTTTTAGGTGCCACCCTAGACTCTTTCTCCGTTCCTGGAACTCCTGGGTACAGAAAGTAAGGAGGATGAGAAGATAGCGTCGTAAATTGCTTACAATTTATATAACGGGTCAAATATTTATGAAGAACTTTTATACATGTTACCTGGGCTGTTTCATAGCTAGGAAGGAATAACTAGAAGGGACCTTGGGGAACATCTAGTCCAGTCCCTTCATGCCAGGATGAGGAAACAGGCCCAGAAATAGGATATAACTTGTCTAAGGCCAAACAGCAAGTGAGTGCCATAGCGGGGCACTATTCATTTACACTTGAGGAAGCCGGAGCCCAGAGACTTCCATGAAGAATAGGGCCTGTCAGTCGGGGAAGGCTCCTTGGAGGTCATCTAGAATCCAAAACCTCTTTTAACAGCGGTTTAGAAGAGGTGTCGGCCCCGGCCAGGTTTCTCGGAATTTACTGGACCTGGATCCAGACCTTCGGTCTCGCACTGTAGCATGAATGAATGTGATCTTAGGGGTCCCTGCCGGCAGAGGCACCTCTACTTGCGTCGGGCCGGAGCGATTACTCGGGGCGGGGTTCAGGTGTCCTGGCTTTTGAGGTCCCCTTCCCAGGGAGGAGCCTTCAGGATCTCCTCGTAACCCGGCCCGGAGCAGCGGACCGCTTGGGGCGCGGCGCGAGTCCGGCTTGGGGGCGTGGCCCGCAAGCTGCGAACCAATACCAAGCCAGATCGTGAATAAGGGTGGGGTGTACTCGCTCCGCCCATTTTTCCTCAGCTTCCGGAAAGCCGGGCGGTGACCTAGGCAACCGACCTAGAGTAAAACCTCCCCTTGCCAAAATTGCTTCGTCCTGTCCCTCTTGGCACAACCAATCGGAAAGTGAAGTCATTTACTGGGGCAAGAGAAAAAAAAGAACGGCGATTTTTGATTGGTTGGTTGATGAGTCGGGTACAATCACTGGCGTGACCCTGGGGCTGGGGAGTGGGACCTCGCCCAGGTTGGAAACCGTGAGCCTGGGACATACACTTTCGAGAAGCTGAGCAGAGAAAGAGCTTTGGTGAACTGAAAATAACGTGTTTCCAATTCCAAGTAGCTGCTCTTCTAGGTGTGGGCGAAGGTAGTGGGAGACCAAAAACCACCCGATATTGTTATACTTCTCGGTGGTAGTAGTATTGCGAGGAATACAAGCATTTAATGTTTAAATTGAACATTTATTGAGCGCCTGCTGGGTGCCAGACACTGGTCTAGGTGCTTGGGCTCAGTGAGCAAACCTGATTATTGCCTTCTTGGAGGTTGTATTCTAACGAGGGGAGATCATACCTTACGTAGTGTGTTAGAAGATGGGACAAGGCTGTGGGGAAAAAAAAATGTAGAGCAAGGGGGGGACTTCCCTGGCGGTCTAGTGGTTAATAAGACTCCGCGCTGCCAACACAGAGGGTGCGGGTTTGATCCCTGGTCGGGGAACTAAGATCCCACGTGCTGCCCGGCCAAAAAAAAAAAATTTTTTTTTTAAAAAAGTGAAAAGACAGCCTACAGAATGGGATAAAATGTTTGGAACTCATATATCTGAAGGGACTTGGAGTCATAATAAATAATGAACTCTTACAATTTAACAATAAAAAGATGAATAACACCCCCCCCCAAAAAAAAAAAAAAGGTAGAGCAAGGTAAGGTGGAGCAGGTTGCATCATTAACGAGGTGGCCAGGTTGGACACCAGTGCAAAAGTGAGATCTGAACAAAGAACTGAAGGAGGCAAGACGGTTTGCCAGTGGGCTATCTGGGAGAGTATCCAAGGCAAGAGGGAACATCTGACTGGTATTAGTGAAAAACGGCGAGGAGAAAACTGTGGCTGGAGCGTGTGAGTGAAGGGAGAGTGGTGGGAAACGACTGAGGGGACAGGGAGTACAGATCTTACAGGGTCTTGTATGCTTGGCTTTTGCTTTGAAATAGGGAGCCATTGCA